AGGTCAGCATTACATTGATTCTAAAACCAGACAAAAACTCCACTAAAAAATTACAGGCCAATATGGACGAACATGGATGCAAAAATTCTCAACAAGATACTATCAAATCAAATCCAACAGTACACTAAAAGAATCATTCACCATGATGAAACGGGATTTACTTCTGGGCTGCAAGGTTGGTTCTATATTTGCAAATCAATATGATGCACCACATAAATAAAAGAAAGGTTAGAATCATATGATCCTCTCAATAGATGTGGAAAAAGCATTTGACAAAGTACAGCATCCATTCCTGATAAAAAACCCTCAAAAAAGTAGGAATAGACGGAATATACCTCAACATCATAAAGGCTATATATGAAAAAACTACAGCTAATATAATCCTCAATGGGGAAAAACATAGAGCACTTCCTCTACAGTCAGGAAAAGAAAGGAAGTCTATTCTCACCACTGTTATTTAACATGGTACTAGAAGGCCACAGTAATGAGACAACAAAATGAAATAAAAGGCATCCAAATCCAAAGGAAGAAGTCAAACTTACACTATTCACAGAGGACATGATATTCTGTGTAGAAAACCCAAAAGACTCCACCAAAAAATTGCTAGAATTGATACATGAATTCAGTAAAATCAAAGGATACAAAATCAATGTACAGAAATATGTTGAATTTCTACATGCCAATAATAAAGCAGCAAAAAGAGAAATCAAGGAATTGATCCCATTTATAATTGCACCAAAACAAGAAGATACCTAGGAATAAACCCAACCAAAGAGGTAAAAGATCTATACTCTCAAAAATATAGAACACTTATGAAAGAACCTGAAGATGACACAAAGTAATGGAAATACATGCTCTGTTCATGAATTGGAAGAAAAAATACTGTTAAAATACCTATACTATCCAGAGCAATCTATACATTTAATGCAATCCCAATGAAAAACCATTAGCATTTGTCACAGAGCTAGAATTATGCTGAGTGAAATAAGTCAAGCAAAGAGTTAATTATCATATGGTTTCACTGACTTGTAGAACATAAGGAATAACACGGAGGCCATTAGGAGAAGGGAAGGAAAAGTGAAAGGGAGGAAATGGAAGGGGAGATGAACCTTGAGAAACTGTGGACTCTGAGAAACAAACTGAGGGTTTTAGAGGGGAGGTAGATGGGGGATGGGTGAGCCTGGTGGTGGATATTAAGGAGGGCATGGATTGCATGGAGCACTGACTGTTATATGTAAACAATGAATCTTGGAACACTACTTCAAAAACTAATGACATATTGCTTGGTGACTAACATAACACAATAAAAAAATAATTAAAAAACTGAAAAAAAAAAAGAATAAACAATCCTAAAATTTGTATGGAACCACAAGACCCCAATGGCCAAAGCAATCTTGAAAAAGAAAGGCAAAGCTGGACACATCACCATTTCAGACTTCTAGTTATATTAAAAAGCTACAGTCATCAAAACAGTATGGTACTGGCACAAAAACAGATACATAGATCAATGGAACAGAATAGAAAACCCAGAATTGGACCCACAACCATATCATCAACTAATCTTTGACAAAGTGGTTAAGAATATCCAATGGAAAAAAGGACAATCTCTTCAACAAATGGTGTTGGGAAAGCTGGACAGCAACATGCAGAAGAATCAAATTGGACCACTTTCTTACACTCTACACAAAAATAAATTCAAAATGAATGAAAGACCTAAATTTGAGACAGGAAACTATCGGAGTCTTAGAGGAGAATACAGGCAGCAACCTCTTTGACCTCAGTCATAGCAATTTCTTACTAGACATGTTGCTGGAGACAAGAGAAACAAAAACGAAACTGAACTACTGGGATTTCAGATATAAAGCTTCTGCACAGTGAAGGAAACAATTAACAAAACTAAAAGGCAGCCTATGGAATGGAAGAAGATATTTGCAAATGACATATCCAATAAAAGGTTAGTATCCACTATCTATAAAGAACTTAACAAATTCAACACCCCAAAAACAAATAATCCAGTTTAAAAAAGGGCAGAAGACATGAATAAACATTTTTCCAAAGACATCCAGATGTTTAACAGACACATGAAAAGATGCTCAACGTCACTCATCATTAAGGAAAGGCAAATCAAAACTACAATGAGATATCACCTCACACCTTTCAGGATAGCTAAAATTAACACAAGAAACCTCAGATGTTGGTGAGGATGCAGAGAAAGGGGAACCTTCTTACACTGTTGATGGGAATGCAAACTGGTACAGCCGCTCAGGAAAACAGTATGCAGGGTCCCTCAAAAATTTAAAAATAGAACTATCCTATGATCCAGCAATTGCACTACTACATATTTGCCCAAAGGAAACAAAAATACAGATTTGAAGAGACACATGCACCCTGATGTTTATATCAGTGTTATCAACAATAGTCGTATTATGAAAACAGCCCTAGTGTCCATCAACTGATGAATGGATAAAGAAGATGTGGTGTATATAAACAATGGAATATTAGCCATCAAAAAGATTGAAATCTTGCCATTTGCAATGACATAGATGGAGCTAGAGTTTATTGTGCTAAGCAAAATAAGTCACTCAGAGAAAGACAAATACCATATGATTTCACTCATATGTGGAATTTAGGAAATAAAACAGATTAACATTTGGGGAAAAAGAGAGACCATAAAACAGAGTTTTAACTACAGAAAACAAAATGGCAGTTGCTGGAGGGGAGATGGGTTGGGGATGGGCCAAATGAATGATATGTATTAAGAAGGGCACTTATTGTGATGAGCCCTGGGTATAACATGTAAGTGATGAATCACTAAATTCTACTCCTGAAACCCATATTATACTATATGTTGACTAGAATATAAAAACTTTAAAAAAAAAAAGAAAAAGAAAAGGAAAAAGAAAAAAAGAAAAAAGAAGCCTCCTGTGCATTGTTGGTGGGATTATAAACAGGTACAGCCACTGTGGAAAACTATAAGAAATTCTTCAAAAAATTAATGAAACTACCATATGATTCAGTAATTCCACTTCTGGGAATATATCCAAAACAAACAAAAACATCATGCTGAAGAGATATTTGCACCCACATGTTCACTGCAGCATTATTTCCAGTATCCAAGATATGGAAACAACCTAAGTGATACCAACATATTAATGGATAAGTTAAGTATGATACGCACACACACACAGAGAAATATTATTTAGCCATAAAGAAAGGAAATCCTGCCATTTGCAGTAACAAGAATGGATCTGGAGAGCATTTTGCTAAATGATTTAAGTCCAACAGAGAAAGCAATATTTGTATGTTCTTATTTATATGTTGTCTAAAATTAAAGAAAGAACTCATAGAAAACGAGATCAGATTTGTGGTTACCAGGGGCAGAGGTGTTGGGGTTCAGGAATTAGATGAAGGTGGTCAAAGATTTGTACCTTTGTACGAGTTAAAAGATAAATAAGTACTAAGGATGTAGTTTATAACACAATGATTATAGTTAACACTGCTATATGGTATATTTGAGAGTTAAGGGAGTAAATGCTGAGCATTCTCATCATGAGGAAAAGAACTCTTTTTTTCCTTTTTTTTGCATCTATATAAAATGATGGATAGTAACTAAATGTATTGTGGTAATCATTTCAGAATATATACAGGTCAAATCATGCTGCATAACTTAAATTTGTACAGGACTGTATATTAAGTGTATCTCAATACATATGGAAAACATTTGGAAAAAAAGAACATTAAGAGTAGTTAAAGTGAAGGAGTCCTCCTCTTCCACTGCAATAGTAGGATAAAGGTAAGTATATTACTATTATAGGTGAAGAGAGAGACATTTAGTCATTCCTTTGACAACATTCATTAAAAACAGAAAATTTTCAAAGAACTGTTCTCAGGTAAAGGGAAAACAAAAATAAATAAGATATAATCCTTACCTCTGAAGAGCTTGAAATATAATGGAAGTACAGACTGATATAACTATTTTGATATAAAAACAAAGTGCTATGAGAATACTTATATACAGTAAGTTCGCCTTTGATGAAATGAAATTCATCAAATTTTAATATGAAAAATGTGTCAGATTTTCCATAGTGGAGAAAGGAAGAAAGGAATTAAGTACAGGAAACAAAGTGAACAGAAAGGATCTTGAAATTGAAAGTGCGTATTACTTAGGCTGTTGCTGAGTGATTAAGAGAACAGGTTTTGGAAACATGAAAGATTTGGACTGAATTCTAAGCCATTCTACTTTTTTACTACGTGATCATGAATAAATAACCTAACCTCTATAAAAATGAAGGTAATAAGTATTGCTTTTAGCACCGTTCTAAGAATTAAATAGATGTAAGTAGGATAGTCAGCATGGTATCTGTCCTATAGAAAGTAAAAAGATAAATGATATTTGTCATTTTAAAGTAAGTCAATTTATTTTGTAAACTGCAAAACACTACACAAATATAAGGCATTATTTTTTTCTGAAACCTAATGAATAGTTTAAAAACACATCTAAATATGTAAGCATTTTATAATATATGAGATAATATTTCCCAAGTACTAATATCTAAAAGCACTCTACTCTTAAAGCATGCTTATATTTATATTTGTTCAATATTCAAACAAAGGAATACACTACATACTTCTGAAAAAAACTAGATGTTTTAATCATAATTACCAAAATATATTTCCTAATATTTATAAAAAGTTGCAGTTAGGGGTGCCTGGGTGGCTCAGTCAGTTAAGTGTCTGCCTTCACCTCAGGTCATGATCCCAGGGTCCTGGGATCAAGCCCCACATCAGGCTCCCTGCTCAGCGGGGAGTCTGCTTCTTCCTCTCCCTTGGCCTGCTGCTCTCCCTGCTTGTGCTCTCTCTTTCTGCCAAATAAATAAATAAAATCTTTAAAAAAAAAAAGTTGCAGTTATACTTCAGTTAAAAAAATTAAACTAAAAAAACCCCAGAAAGTTGCACCTAAATATTATTAGCTACTTTATCCATAATGCCACAAAACCTACCTTTTCTTCTCTTTCTATTTCAAGTTGTTTCTTAACAGACAAAAGTTCATTTTTGAGATTAGACAATTCAGACTCCTAAAGGAAAAAAAAAACATGAAATTTATAGTGTATCCATATATTTCTCAAAACAGTGAAAATGCTAATGTTTCATATATATTTAGTTTTACAGAGAAATAAATTCACTTATAAAATATATACACTTTTTTACTATGTTCAGTTAGCCAACATATCGTACCTCATTAGTTATTTATGTAGTGTTCAAAGTTTCATTAGTTGTGTATAACACCCAGTGCTTACTTTACTCACTGATATGAAGGCTGCTAGTTGAACATAACTAAAGATTTCATTTAGACAAATTTTTATTGTTTTCTAAAGAAATATTTAACATTACGTATCTCTCCTTCTCACCTTCTCCCAATCTATCCCATTCTTCCTCTCCCAATCTCTATCAAGCTCCAAATTTATTTGTAACTGGAGTTTGTATTTATTCATTTGAAAAAAAGAGTTTATCCCACATTTCAGAAAATAAAACTGGAAAACCATTTAACTATAACACCTGTAAGATCTTTTTTAAAGATTCTTTGATTCTACAGCTCAAAAATTATGGTTTTATTTAATATTATTCTTTACCACCAGTCATGCTGATATGAAAATTGACTTTATTGCTATTTGTTCTGTATCTCACCAAAGATGCTTTCACTGATGACTGTTCTTGTTCTTTGCTTTTATAAAGTCCTAGTTCTGAGTCTCTTTCTTCAACTATTTTATCATATTGGTGCTATATTAAACAGAGAAAATATTTTAAGTATATTTTTTGAACACAAAAAAAATATGGCTTTTTTTTAAAAAGATGTTTATTTATTTATTTAACAGAGATCACAAGTAGGCACAGAGGCAGACAGAGAGAGGGGTGGGGAAGCAGACTCCCCACTGAGCAGAGAGCCTGATGCAGGGCTCAATCCCAGGACCCCGGGATCATGACCTGAGCCAAAGGCAGAGGCTTTATTTAACCCACTGAGCCACCCAGGTGCCCCATAAATTATGTTTTAATAATACTAGTATCCTTACACATTTTATATTCACAGAAAATGTCAATAAATTCCACATTTATATATATATATATATATATAGAGAGAGAGAGAGAGAGAGACCTTTTTTCTAATTTTTAAGTCATTTTTATTCAAATAAACAATGAAACATAGAAAACAGTCTTGAAAATAATCAAACACAAGAACAACAAAAAATTCTTTTTAATTGGAAATGTTGAGTTTCATAATTAAAAAAAAAGGGTAGAAAAAAAAAAAAGGTAGAAGAGTAACTGATTCCAGACCCAAATCTGGGGCAGGAAATACAAGATGAGACTTGAACATGTTGTTATAATAGAAAGCAAAAAAGCTGTCAAGTCAAAAGGACTGGCCAACTAGTTTGAAGAGTCTCCCACTGGCCAAAAAAGGAACAATTTGGGTGTCAAGGATTAGACTGGATTGAGAAATGCCAAATATGTTTAAATCTCTGAGTTCATAATATTTTTATGAATTTTTAAAATATTATGAAAATATGTTCAATCTTCATTGGTTACCTCATATGTTTATATTCCACCAACAATTTTAAGGATGAATAGGTAAGTATAGCCCACCTCTTATTCCAAATCTTGAAGGGAATAAAGCTGAATTCAGTAACAGAATGATTACTTTTATAACAACAAAAAATAAAGGACAAACACAACAAACATTAAGTCTTTCATCTATTTATACCACTGATAAAAATTTGTTTAGCCTAATGTGTGTTAGACACACATAATGGATATATTTATATCCTTTACCAGATACATATTCTGGGGATGTACTTAAATAAATATAAGGTGTAAAGTGCTATAAGAAGAGTACTAGGAAAATTCAGAAGAAAAGTGATTACTTCCATACATAACAGATGACAAGGAGAGGGATTCTCAAGGAAGGGACACTCAAACTCAGCTTTGTGTGGTTAAGACCTAAACTTAGAGAAATGGAAGATCAAGAGTATTCTAGCTGTAATCAGTCATTATTGCAAATTTTCTGACAAATCAGACTGCTATCCTGATTTCACCATCTTTATGCATAAATATAGCTGCAATTAATAGTTCTCATTACACACACACATTACCTTATGTTTTTCCATAAGTGCTACCATTTCAGCTATTTTATGTTGACATCGTATATCAATTTCTTTCTGTAATTTCACTGCTTCATTGGCTGTTACTTTTGCTTTCTCAACCTATCAAATAAAGTATTTCTTAAAATTAATGCACAAAAAACAAATTTAACTTAAATGCAAAGACCATATATACTACTTACATAAAATGCAGAAATCAAACACCAGAAAATTAGGAAAGCCAAGTAAAAGATGCATTACTGTTTGGGTTTATTTTAGGGTGTCCTATCAAGTGCGATGATAGTATAACACTATAATGACCACTTAATCTTTTCAAAATAATACATTACTTAATACACACATACTTAGAATAACAAAGATACTTTTTAACTGTCACATATAAATTTATTAAATCTTTTAAAAATCATAACTTCAGAATTGCTTTTCTCTTAAAATGTTGATAAACAAATAGAGTTTTAATATAACAATTTTTCAAACATATTTAGTTTTTCCCACCTCTTCTAAAAGATTTTCTTCTGATATCTTTTTGTCCTCAATTTTTTTTTGATAGCTGTCAGTCATTTCCTTAAATTTCTGTTTGGCACCTTCTAGTTCTAATTCTAATTTACTGACCTTTGAGTAAAGAAAATAGCATTAACATTAGTAAATGTGCACTACTTGAAAATATTCTATATTCACTTTGTGGTTTTGTGACTCTTAAAACATTACTTATTCATTAAAATTTGGCTGGTTCATTTTCCTTACAGTTTTCATATGGTGAGATGTGATTTTTCACAAAACCCCTAAAATACATATTTAGTCTGACAAGTAATATTTTTAAAGTAGCCATATTTTCATTTATGATCTATATCTCAGAAATATTTAAATTATTTGTTCTGAGGTTCAGGTTTTGTTACAGTGACTATTCCATTTGGATAGAACACCCATGTGATTCAAAGAAAAAGCATGTTCTGGGCGCCTGGGTGGTTCAGTGGGTTAAGTCTCTGCCTTCCGCTCAGGTCATGATCTCAGGGTCCTGGGATAGAGCCCCACGTCAGGCTTTCTGCTCAGCAGGGAGCCTGCTTCCCCCTCTCTCTGTCTGTCAAAGAATAAAATCATTTTTTTAAAAAAGCATATTCTTTTTTAAGATTTTATTTATTTGACAGAGAGAGATCACAAGTGGGCAGAGAGGCAAGCAGAGAGAGAGAGGAGGAAGCAGGCTCCCTGCAGAGCAGAGAGCCCGATGTGGGACTCGATCCCAGGACCCTGAGATCATGACCTGAGCTGAAGGCAGAGGCTTAACCCACTGAGCCACCCAGGTGCCCCAAGCATATTCTTTTTAAAAAAGCAGCTTTATTGAGGTATAATGGATACACACAAAAAAAACTATGCATATTTAACGTTCACAATTTGATTAGTTTAGACATATGCATACACCATGAAACCATCACAATTAATATAATGTATCACCTCCAAAAGTTTCCTTCTAGCCCTTTATTTTCTACCATAAAAACAATTTAACATGAGATCTATCCTCTTCACAAATTTATAAGTTCACAATATAGTATTGTTAACTATAGGTACTGTGCTGTACGGCAGACATCTAGAACTAATTTATCTTACTTAACTGGAAACGTTATACAAGTTGAAGAACTCTCCATTTCCCCCTGCCTTTTACCTATTCTAATCTCCATTCTAATCTCTGCTTCTTCTAATCCTTGCTCTTCTTTATAGCTCTCTGAATAATTATATATTAATATTTGTTTTTTTAACTATTTTTATTGTTTTATGTTACTCACCATACAGTACATCGTTTGTTTTTGATATACTGTTCCATGATTGTTTGTGTATAACACGCAATGCTTCATGCAATTCATGCCCTCCTTAATACACATCACTGGGTTCAACCACGCCCCACCCCCCTCCCTTCTAAAACCCTCCATTTGTTTCTTGGAGTCCATAGTCTCTCATGGTTCATTTCCCCTTCTGATTCCTCCCCCTTCATTTTTCCCTTCCTTCTTGTAATGTCCTCCATGACATTCCTAATGTTCCACAAATAAATGAAACCATATGATAATTTAGACTTTCTGTGTTTGACTTATTTCACTCAGCATAATCTCCTCCAGTCCCATCCATGTTGATGCAAAAGTTGGGTATTCATCCTTTCTGATGGCTGAGTAATATTCCATTGTATATATGGACCACATCTTCTTTATACATTCGTTTGTTGAAGGACATCTTGATTCTTTCCAACAGTTTGGCCATTGTGGACATTGTTGGTATGAACACTGGGGTGCATATGGCCCTTCTTTTCACTATGACTGTATCTTTAGGGTAAATATCCAGTAGTGCAATCGTAGAGTCAATGGGTAGCTCTATTTTTAATATTTTGAGGAATCTCCACAGTTTTCCAAAGTGGATGCACTACCTTGCATTCCCACCAACCATGTAAGAAGGTTCCCCTTTCTCCACATCCTCACCAACATTTGTTGTTTCCTGTCTTGTCAATTTTTGCCATTCTGACTGGTGTAAGGTGGTACCTTAATGTGGTTTTGATTTGAATCTCTCTGATGGCTAATGATGATGAACATTTTTTCATGTGTCTGTTAGACATTAGTATGTCTTCTTTGGAGAAGTGTCTGTTCATGTCTTCTGCCCATTTTTGATGTGGTTATCTGTTTTTTGAGTGTTGAGTTTGAGGAGTTCTTTATAGATCTTGGATATGAGCCCTTTATCTGTAGTGTCATTTGCAAATATCTTCTCCCATTACGTGGGTAGCCTCTTTGTTTTGTTGACTGTTTCCTTTGCCATGCAGAAGCTTTTGATCTTGAAGTCCCAAAAGTTCATTTTTGCTTTTGTTTCCTTTGCCTTTGGAGACATGTCTTTTTTTTTTTTTTTAAAGATTTTTTAAATTTATTTATTTGACAGAGAGAGAGAGAGAGAGCACAAGTAGGCAGAGAGGCAAGCAGAGAGAGGGGGAAGCAGGCTCACTGCCGAGCAGAGAGCCCGATGCGGGGCTCGATCCCAGGACCCTGAGATCATGACCTGAGCCGAAGGCAGAGGCTTAACCCACTGAGCCACCCAGGTGCCCCTGGAGACATGTCTTGAAAGAAGTTGCTGTGGCCGATGTTGAAGAGTTTATTGCCTATGTTCTCCTCTAGGCTTTTGATGGATTCCTGTCTCACATTGAGGTCTTTCATCCATTTGAGTTTATCTTTGTGTATGGTATAAGGGAATGGTCGAGTTTCATTTTTCTCTATATAGCTGTCCAATTTTCCCAGCACCATTTATTGAAGAGACTGTCTTTTTTCCACTGGATATTTTTCCCTGCTTTGACCATAGAGTTGTGGGTCCATATCTGGTCTCTCTATTCTGTTCCATTTGGTCTGTGTCTGTTTTTGTGCCAGTACCATGCTGTCTTGGTGATCACAGCTTTATAACATAACTTGAAATCGGGCAATGTGAGGCCCCCGGCTTTGTTTTTCAACATTTCCTTGGCAATTCTAGCTAAACGCAGGGGACTGGTTGAAATGGAGTCCCCCACTCCTTTGCCATCTTGGGAATCTCTCTGATGCTTTTTTAAAGTTTCTATTTCTTCACTGAGATTCTCCATTTATTCATTATAAACATACCCTCCTTTTCGTCTTTGAATATACTTATAAAAACTACATAAATGCTCTTATCTCCTAATTCCAACATCTGGGTCACCTTAGAGTGATTTCCTATTGACTTATTTTTAATACTACTAATGGTTATCTGTGTCATCTTCATTTTAGGGCTACCACAACTAATGCTGCTATGAATATTTTGTGTATTTCTCTTGATTCTACCTATAGTAGGCTGAATTACAGGATATATGTTAGTTACTTTTCTATATGATTCCAGAAGTTTGAGAATTCTTTTCATTTTTAACACAATGTTTATATATTTTTAATCTCAGATAGTATTAAAGGAAGGTATAAGATTTTTGTTTTCCTAGAAAATGAACATCTTTCAAATACTGAGAACTACTGTTTTCCATTCAAGACTCAAAAACTATTTGAGTACTTACTGTCAGTTGCTATTCAAGGACTTAGGAATATGATAATAAACAAATTAGGGCTCTTGACATCATGAGCTGACATTCCTTAACTTTAACTTTTTTCTATAAAATCAATGGTTCTCAAACTTCTTGTGCAGCAGGATAACCATATATAGACCTTCTATAATATGTAGATTCCACGGCTCTACTCCAAACCTACTCAATCTCAAATTTAAAAGTATGGGTAAGGAATATGAATACACACATATACCACACATATTCATATATTTAAGCTGCTTAGATTGTTCTGATACAGCTAAGTCACAGACAAGCACTCTATTAAAAAGAACGATTCCTACAATCTCAAAAGAATTTTTGAAAATAACTGCTACAATAGAAGAGTATGAAATTCCTAAGTTTTCATCTACTTACTAGTATTTTAAAAACAAAAATAAATATTCCAAATACCTTTATCTCATAAATATTCAGTTGCTTGCTTTCTGCTGTGCCCCTTTTTTTTAAGGCCTTAGTCTGTAAAAAATTGAAATAAAGAATTATGCTTAGTAACAACATGATCCCATTTTGCATTGCCACTGACTTAGACTGAAATTACTAAAGGAAAGGAAAGCATTATTCTCTAAAAATGTAGTGAAAAAATTAGGTTTTTTTAATAGTTTATGTTGGAGAATCAGTACCTACCTCCTGCTGGAGTTCTTCAATACATTTGCTTTTATTTTCAACTTGTTTCCTTAAATTGTTACACTAAAAATTATGAGAAATTATAATTATTTTATTCAATATTCCAGTCAAAATAAGTAACTTTAAACTAATAAAAATATTGCATAAAATAACATAAAGGTCACTTCAAAAATTATGTAGTTTAGTAATTCCATTAGTGTCTAAAATTATGTGATCAAGTAAATTTTAATAAAGATTTTTCTCAATAGAAATTTGAAATTCTTCACATTTCTTAACTTACTTAAAGAACACATGAATTCAATTACTTTAAGGAAAATGTGCCTCTTGCTCAATCCTATACAGAAGGCTGAATTGTATTATTAATTAGATTTTGAAAAGCTATAGCCAGAGGTAAGATTGACTGTAATTTGCCTTCATCCTTATTCATTATTCCTCATTTCTCATTTCTGAGTCTCTTTTACTTTTATATTTGGGGAAAGGGAATAATGTGATACTATCTCCTCATAACTGCATTCTAACACATGTTATAGAAATACTACCTAACACTTTTTTATATCACACTTTGGGAGACTATTTCACCTGAGTACACATGCATGATTGGACTAAGAGGCATTAGGCTAAGAAATAATTGGACTACCATAAAGCAGAACAGGTTCCTAAACAGTCCTAAAACATTACAGATAATGTAAGTTGTATAAATTTCCATCAAAGTAGAAAGAAACTCCAATGGAAAAAAAAAATTTAATCTCTCAGCACAAAATACTCTGTTAAATATTTTTATTGCAAAACCCATGTGTAGTCATAATCAGCTATTATTCTAAAACAGTAATACATGGCACAGCTGCTTAATAATCTTATTTTTAATATGCCCAACCCCTAAAGTCTATTTCAAAAACTCAAAAGAAAACAAAGGAAGAAAAGCTACAGAAAAATGAGAGACATTTTGGTGATTTTCATGCCAATTTTACTGGTATAAATACATTAGCAGGTGCAAATATTTGTGTATACAATTTTAACTTTTTTTTAAAAATCAAGGATTTCCAATTCTGGCTGAAAAGCCACCTGTATATTCTGAACAACCTTCCTGATAAAAAATAATTTTAAAAAGGAAATGGCTACAAAATGAGGAATCTGCTTACTTGAAATTATAACTTTAATAATAGCAGGTTTGGGGTAGTACCAAAGCCAGCTATGGACATCTGCTGAAACTACCTAGTATAAGGGAGATAGAAGATAAAACTTAGAGCTCACTAAAGGTAAGGAATTCAGTAAGACAACCCTGCATAAAGCCACAAACTCAAAAGACTACCTATTCTATGAAAATATTTTTTAAAAAATAAATCTGCCACACAGAAGGGTCACAAGAAAACTTGTCTGTCTTGACGCTAGCACTGAGTGAAAGTTATCAAAATCTTCCCCGAGAATTTGTAGCCGTGAGGTAGCCTTATATGAGTTTATAGCCTAAATTCATGCTATCTCTATGATTTGGAAAAACCTAAAATGGAGAATTTAATTTAAAATGGTTCCTGGTGAACAGTGATCCCAAGACAATGTTTTTGGGAAGATACAAACTCCAACACAAGCCTCAAAGAATTCCCATGGATAAAACTCCAAAGAATCATAAAAACAACAACAAAAAACAAAATAACAAAGAATTGAGACTCAATGAGTAAACATCAACAGAAAGAACAAAAAGCCTAATCAGACCTGAAATGACTTCAGACACTGGTATTCCTATAAAGCCATCTTTATAACTGGCATTACTACAATCCAAAAATAAGTGTATATCTTACTAAAATAATGACACCAAAACTATCAACTTTGAATGTAATTTGACTGCCCATCTCACTCTCCCTTCTTTCTGAATAAGACAATGAAAATTAAAATAACTTGTCACACCTTTTAAATTTAAACAATCTCCAAATTTAGGGCTAATGAAGGTAAATATATTTGGTAGAATGTCGAAAATTCTTGGAAAGGATTTAAAATACCATAGTTTTTTTCCCCCCAATCACAGTTCATTTCTAAGTAAAACAATTCACATGCATAGAAACAAAAGAATTTTACTCACCAGAATTCTAGGCAGAAGAAAATGGTATTATCAGAGGTCAAAACTTCAGAGAGTGAACTAAACTTTTCCAGAGGACTACTTACTATAGGTAAGAAGTTCAAGTTTAGGATAAATATATGGAGACAGGAGAAGTGAATTGTGATGGACAGCCAGGCAGTAAAAACACTTCACAACTTCACATCAAGGGAGCAGAAAATTTTCTGTAGCTCCTTTGATTATATGAATGAGAAATATGTCTAACAATAATCTTTAAAAGCATCTTGCCACTCTAAAGATTCTGCCAACAAATGCAGCTGCTAAGAATGTAAAATTTGGGGAAAGGAAGAGATAACTAAAGAAGAATTTCATGAAACTTTGCTCTTTGAAGCACTGTACAAAGCTCCTAAACCCAGAGCTTCTTCAAAGAAACCTGCAGTAAAAATCCAAAATTATTCCTTAAAGTCTTCAAAGAGATTTGATATCTCTTTGTACAGGACAGTGTAAAGACTGGTCTTAAAGAACGTAGTCATACTTTTGCTACAAAGTCTCTTTTCTCAAAAATGCTTTTTGCAATTTGATAATACCTTGTTTTCTAAGATCTTCATTTGTTTTTCTTTTTTTAAAACTTCACATTCAATGTTGCGTGCCTAAAAAACATTATTTTCCATCATATTTAAAATGTTAACAGAATATCTATTTTCTTCTTAGTATCTTTCAGAAATAGAATTATAAAACTTAGTCTTATATTTCTATAAAATATACATACTTCCAGTTTATTGCTGTATCCTTTTTTAAAAAATAAATTGTCTTTAATGCTTTTATGTTAATGCTTATCACTTTTAATTTTAACCCAATATTATTTTGTGATTTTTATCAACTTTCTCAGTCTACCTTGAATTTTTTAAAGTTGTCAAATGTCTATAATCTTCTAAATATGTCTTTCACAAACACTTTTAATCTGAACCTCAGAACAACCCAATGATAAAATCAGGTATTATTATCTCCATTTTAGGGATGAGAAAATAAGCTCAGAGAAAGCAAGTATGAAATAATATAAATGTCTATACTAAGATAGTGGGTTGCAGGGGGAAAGGTATAATGAATGTCAGGTAAATTTCTGAGAACTACTTGCAAATTGGATTCTTTCTAGGAAACTGTTTGAGTAAGTAAATTGAAATCCAACCACGGAAAAAGATTAAATGTGCCAACTTGTCTTGCATTTTGAGTTTTTTTCCTAACTCATCACTAATATCTTGTACATTGGTAAAATACATTTAAATTCTTGATAAAGGATTTTTACTTTAAACACCAAATTCATGTTTTTTCCCCATCACAAAAGGATTAGTGTCGTGAAGCAGCCTCTGATGCAAATCTTAAAGTAGTAAATTACATAGCAAATTTTCAGGAGATTAAATTCCTTTTTAATAAATATGAAACTGAAAGAAAAAGTACCTTTTTGAAAGAAAAAAAAATGTGGTATAGTTTAAAGAATGCCAGAAAGCCAGCACTACTACTTCTTAGTTACGTAGCCTTTCAAACTTTTTTACCTTTTGGAGGCCCAATTTCTTAATTCATAAAATGAGGACAAAAATAACTTGCAGTTAACTAAGAGAACATATACAAAGAACTAGAATGTTCCTGATATACTGTAGGCCCTTAAAAATACTAGCTCATCTCGTCCTTAGAATCTTAGTTGTAAGATAGTCTTACAGCTTTCTAAAAATAAATATGACACTCCTCATGTCAAAACTCTTCAATAATGTCAAATTCCTAAATATAGTTTATGGGGCCTTAAATAATCTGTCCTTATCTCTCCCAACCTCATTTCCCCTATCCTTCATCTCCCCATGCTTATCTCTACCTTCAGCTTTCCCTACTCCCTCCACTATTACTACTATTTTAAACTCCACCTTTCAGCCAAGATGAACTTTCCATAGTTTTTTAAATATGACATTCTCCAGGTAGCTGGCTGCCTCAGTTGTTAAGCATCTGCCTTTGGCTCAGGTCATGGTCCCAGTGTCCTGGGATGGAGCCCCACATCGGGTTCCCTGCTTGGCAGGAAGCCTGCTTCTCCCTCTCCCACTCCCCCTGCTTGTGTTCCCTCTCTCACTGGGTCCCTCTCTGCCAAATAAATAAAATCTTTAAAAAATAAAAATTAAAAATGAACAAATATGACACTCTCTCATACTCTGTATGTAGTGTGTGTGTGCTTATAATTTATAATATTCCCTGATATATTTGTGTCCATCCCTCTGCCTTCCAGTAATTTCTATTAATCTTAGGTTTCAAAGTGAATGTCACTTCTTCCAGGAAGGTGTCCTGACTCAACTTTTGATTAGATGCTCCTTGTATACGCTCCAGGAGGAGCTACTTTGGTCTGGCCACCATTCTTTCCTGAGAAGACTCTGTTAGTGTAAATTCCATAGCAATCCTGTTAAATCCATGTAGTTTGATGGAAACTGATCTGTCTCCAGGAGTAGATAAGTACATAGCTCAGGCTTCACCAAATTACTCTATCCCCTAACCACAATGACTAACTTAGGAATAAGTAAGTAAAATTAAACTAGAGCAAAGTCCTCTCCAAGATGTTTTTCGGAGCTTTCAAGACACTTTTTTTTAAAGCTTTCCAACTAATTCCAATGCCTTTCACATCTTTCCCATTCCATTCTTAGAAACTAAAATGTGACTTCCCTAGTAATAATTAAAAAAAAAAAAAAACCCACCTTAACTGAACCACACATTATCCACCAGAACAAATGAAGTCTAAACTGGGCACCGAGAACAGTGCCTGGCACGAGTAGATAGCTAATAATACGTGCTGAGTGAATGAAAAAACACAGGCAAGGCCTTCACAATCTAGCTTCATCTATCTCGGCAAATCTTCTCCCCACTATGTATACTGTATACTATAATCATGTCACATACTTTGTACCATTTCACTTTTGTGACATTCTTCCCTAAAAACTTTCTTATCTCAACTTGTTGAAATAGTATCCACCAAAGCACAACACAAACTTATCAATTTATCAGTATGTTCTTTACTACGAAAATATGAATCTTTTTAGCCTAAAAATGTATATCATCATTAAATATTAAGCATTTATGAAAGAAATCTGTAATTATGTCACTATTTCTTCTACATATAAACCATATAAGCAAAATAAACTAACGCTGCCTATTGCTTTAAGGTCAACTGCATACAACAGTCCCTATATCAATAGCATACTTTATTTTTTTTTAGACATGTGGTGTTGATTTTATGATTTGAAATTGGTATACAATTTATTACTATAACATACATTTTCTTCACTCTTGTCCAATTTACATTTAACTTCATCTCCTTTCTGTTTTAATTCTTCTCTCACAGATTCCAGTTCATTTCTTAAAGGAAATGGAAGAGTGACATTATAAAAAAATATATTGTATTTTTGTTTTACTGCTTTTCTGGGATTTCTTAAAATGGTTGATTATTATATTTTTTATTGGTTTAAATTATTTTGTTTAGTAATTTTTCATGCATTAATGTCAATAGGCATACTTCCCCTCCTATACTTAAATTACCTTATACATTTAATTTGAAACTAATTATCTAGATCCTTTAATCCATTAAAAAAAGAAATACTTATTTCTTATTTAAGTCAAGATTTCACTTTACTCTTTTCTTTAAGAAGTCATAAATTAGTCATCATCTAAGATGTAGTCATAATTTTATACAAATAAATTAGGGACATAAATGTAAGTGATTTTAATGAAGGACTACATGACTGAGATATTTACATAGACAAACATCCTTACATAGAGAGAAGGTATCTCTGGAAACACACACAAAAAACAGTGATACTCCTGGGGAGGAAAACTAGATAGCAGAAAGACAAAGAGAAGATAGTTTCCTTTCCCCATGTTTCCCCTTGTTGCTTTGAATTTTGTGCCATATGCATATATTGTCTTTTCAAAAGTTTTTAAATTAAAAATCTGCCCACTGCACATGAATGCAATGGTATTTTTGTCTCAGATACTTGAAGCTATTTCTAATTATAGTTTCCCTGGCTAGCATTAATATGTTGCTGGGTTTAGGCTGTATGCACAGAATACTATTCAATCATATGGAATAACTGGCTTTGTAAAAACTGAATCCATGATATTTACCCTTTAACTGAGTATTAATTTTTAATTGACATATTCTTACTTTTCCTATATATTTATATTTAGAGTTCTATAAGTCTATATACAAAAAGATATAATCAAAATAACCTGAATTCTCTTAAATAAAAAGCAGCCTTTCCTCAAAATAAGTCTTCACTTTTTATCCTCAAAATGTACAGTGCCTTAGTCACTGAGATCCAATCTAAAAACTTCTCAGCTGCTTCTCAATGAGAAAATTGAGCAAAAACAACTAAAGCAATCAATAGAAATACAATAAAAGATGATTTTCCAAACCTAGAAAATAACAACAGTTATGTGGCTAGGAACTGTACATAGCACTTTATTCACATTATCTCAATCCTAAATGTTAACAAAATATAAAAAAACAAAACTTAATACTTCAGACTGTAAGTACAAACAAGAGCCCCCAAATATTTGGAAATCATCTAAATTATTAATGGATTAAAAGGAAACAAAATACAAAAACATGTTACTTAGAAAATAAACATGAAAACACTATATATGAAAACCCAAGTCATAGATCGATAGTTGTGTTAAGAAGTAAGCTATCTTGAAATGTTTTTATTATTTGAAAAAGAGAAAGAAAAACTGAATATCAATATATCAATTTGGAAAATAACTAAAGAAAAGATTAATATTTGATTTCAAGCAGACAAATTTCTAAGTAGAAAAGCAATAGGAAAAATTATCCCCCCCAAAAAAAGACAATTAGATCTTATACAAAATGAAAAAACTTATGCACAATAAAAAAATTACCCAAAGTGAAAGGAAAACAAGTTGGGGGAAATATGTACTGTAAAAAAAACAAGGTAAGGGATTACTATATTTTTTAAAGCTTAAGTAAATCAGTAAGAAAACAATTTAGACCTCAAAATATTAATGGGGAACAGATATAAGCAATATTAGAAAAAAGAAATTTGAGCAAGCATAAAAAATTCCAAAGCTTAGCCAAAAAATAAAAATTACAAATCATAAGAACAATGAGTTGTTTTTATCTGTTATATTATCAAATAAATTAATGCTAATTCCCAAAACAAAAGATTTTGGAACCATCATTTTCACACAATAGTGGTTGTACTATATGGTTTACAACAAGTATAACTTATTAAAAACCATTTGAATATCAAAAGTCATTGAAACAATTATTCCAGTAACTCAGTAAATTCTATTCCTTGAAACATATCCTATCAAATTCAAAATAAGAAAAAAATCTGTATGCACCAAGTTGTTAACTATAGTATTGTCGATGTTAACTACAGTATTGTCAATGATAGTGAAAAATAAGAAAATGTAAGTATCTAAAAACAAAAAGAATTAAAATAAATACTGTTATATTCACTTGACTGATTTATAGGCATTAAAAGAGATGATTTGAAAACACCTAGAAACATGGACAATGCTTTTAAAAATATTAATTTTTAAAAAATTTCTCTTCTAGGCTCCATAGCTCTGGGGTTAGAGCACTGGTCTTATAAAAATTTCTCTTCTAAATTTTCTTGTATACAATTACTTTCTTAAATATTAAATATAAGAAAATTCAGAATGCTTTAAAATTAATCTCAAAGTCTAATCTTACTATTTCAACACTAAGAACAAAAGATATTACAATTTTAAGAACTCTAACATAGTAATTCTAATTTTTTACTTTATACCATACTTAACATTAAGTATTATCTAAATTGACTCTAACAAATTAACAGAAAAGAAGTACTAAAATCTTTTGCCAAAAAAAGCCAATTCATTAGTCTTGCCTTAACTGTGTTTCCGTTTCTTCCAGTTTTTCTATTTGTTTCAACATCCTTTCTTCTTGCTTTTTGCTATTCTAAGGAAACAATGTTGTTTATATTGTTTTGTTTCAACAAAAATAAAAACTATTATTTAAAAACCTTTAACCATCAGCATAAAATTTAGTTGTATGTAAAACAAGACAATGGGCTATTTATCTTGCATAGTTTCATACTATTTTTCCAGCCTTATTTTAATTATTACCCTAACAATCTCTACATAGCAGCTAAAAACAAACAAACAAAAAACCACAAGTTTTACTTGCTGTTTCCCAGTGATAATTTAAGCCTTTTATCCTCTATTCATATTATTGTGGCTTAAAGGAATGGTTTTCCATTTACTGATATTTACTGATCTCACAGTTGTTCATCTTTCAAGGCCAAAATCAACACTATACTCCCTCTGAAACCTGCTCTTTCACGAAGGCAGAAGAGCAATTCTGTCAATTCTGGTAACACTTGGTCCCCAAACAACACATATAATGTAGTATTTTGTTTAAGTTACTTGAGTATTTAGTTTTTCTATTGAGCCATAAGAACTTAAAGAGGAAGATAGTCTATTCACCATTGTATCCTTCACATTCTTACATGATTACTTAATAAATACTTGTTGAATAAATACTTCATAAAAATCTTGATGCTTAAAATTAGATTAACTATATCAACAGATATAGTCTCTATATTCTGTTCCCCATTATTCATCACCAAAATCAATATGTATTTTTTCTTTTGAAACAAAGTATCAGCTCTAACATAATCAGATTTGTGAAGGTGAAAGAATCTTGGAAGGTTATCCATTCTAACACCCTAATTGTACAGGTTAGAAAACTAAGTCACTGGTACTATCTTTATCAACTCACATCAATATCTTCTTGCTGTTTCTTGATTTCTAGGGCCATATCACTTGCTTCTTGTGCTAGTTCTTTGTTCTCCAGTGAAAGCCTGTTGCAGCTTGCATTTAGTTCAGTAGTCTTAAGCCTATTATTTAAAAACATGTCAGACCTAAATATTTACCTATTAAATTATATGATGTGGAATTTAATTCAAGATAATCTTAGGGTAAAGAGAGAAAGAAAGGACTGGGAGTATAATAAGATTGGCCATTACTTAATTTTTGAAGTTGAGTGATAAGTACATGCTACTTCATTACATTTTTTTCCTCCACTTTGTACATGTTTAAAATTTTCTCCAAGTTTTACAAGATGTCATATTTTCTTGAATATTCCCTATATACCTCATACTCCATATTTTTCCACAAATTTTGAAGTATATATTATTTTCTTCATATAATTTTTTTGTCTATAGTATACTATCTCTTAGAAACTGTTCCAAACTTCTGGTGATTTGATTAAAGTAGTCATGAGGCATGAACTATCTTTAATAAAATATTTTCATTAAAATAAATAAAACTTGGTTTAACTTCTGTACACAACACTTGAACTGCTCTTACAAGGTCTCAAATGCTCTACACTGGAAGAGAAATTACTGCTATTATTGGTGGCAGTCAAGATCAATTTTAAATGAAAGAAGGGGACTGTGTGGCTCTATGAAATGATTTCAGCAGCATCTATTATTTTCTCCTAATTACCAGTACTGGAAATTCATCAAAGAGTAGATTCAAAAAATGAAAGTTTGAAAAAGCAAACATATCAAAGATTATATAAATTTATACTAAGTATAAATAACTAACCAGTCCATTTATTAAAAGGAATTTTGGTTAATTATGAATTTTACCCATAATTCAATGACCTGTATTTTAGTCACTTCAACAAAACAAATCTATGAAATAATTTAACAAAACAAGCAAAATAACTAGGTAGAACTGCAAATGATTATTTTTATCAGGAACTAACTATCTCCAAGAAAAGTAATATAGTGATCCTCTAAATAAGTTTTCAACTTTGTGATGTACTTTTTATGTTTATGATATATACATATCACTGCTAATTTAATTAACAGTGAAATTAATAAATTATTTTTATCTCTAATTAGGAATAAAACACAACTTTAACTTCAAATGAACAGTGAATATAACTTACTAATTTATTATTAACTATCAGAAAGCTAAGAAATTGAATACATAACTTATTTATAGAGAAAAAACTTACTTCTCATTTTCAAGCTCAGTTTTCAGCTCTTTAACCTGTTTGGAATAATGCTGTTCACTTGACACAATGGCAGTTAACCGTGTTTCCAAATCATGTACTTTTTCCTGGAAAATATGTATAATCACAGCAAACATTTTTTTTATAATTTTCTTGTTTAAAATATGGCCACTTGTAATCAAGTCAAATATTTGACAAGATTTTGGTTAAAAATGTCAAATTTTAAAATATAATAGATTTAATGCCAAAACCATTCTAATTATAGAAAAAGGAGCAATGACAAATGTAATTTAAGTGAATTCCATCTTGATATTCTAAAGCTCAACCAGTAAGATTATATTTATATATTATAAAATATTTTCATCAGTTTTACTCTAGCAGGTAATTAATCTCAATTAAAATGTTCTATTAAGAAAAAATATATTAGTTAATGAAACCAGGTAGAATCTTAAAAACTAATCTGTTCTGGGGGCACCTGGCTGACTCAGTCAGCTAAGTGTCTGACTTCACCTCAGGTCATGATCTCGGGGTCATGATCGAGCCCCACATGCAGCTCCATGCTCAGCAGGGAGTCTGCTTGTCCCTCTCCCTGCTTATGCTCCCTGCTTATTTCTCTCTCAAATAAATAAAATCTTTAAAAAAAAAACCTATACTGTTGTTACTATTATAAAAATATAATTCCAATGTAATGCTATTACGTACTGAAAAAATACCTTTTTAAAATAAAAATATATTCTAAAATTACAGTATGAGAACTGTAAAAATTATTATAAACAAAGAACTTAATAAAAGTAAAATATTCAATCTATAAATACTAAAGACATCAAAAATGTGATTGTTATAAATTACAGCATTATGTATACTATTGATATCATAATGTCAATCTTTATCTCCATTATAATATGAAGATTCTCTAGATTTGTTTCAAATCAATCACTAGTATATTAAATGTAGCAGGAACGCTTCCTTCGAAGGAATTGTGAGAAGTCCTACACAAAGCAAATCCTTCACAATACCACAATCTATTCTGTAAATCTGTATTTTACTAACAAAATGTTGGAAAGAAAATCTTTTTTAAACAAACCTCTCTGGTTTGGAGAAGACCAGTTAGTTCTTGTTCTGCTCCTTTTAATTCTTCAGCAATCTTCTCAAATTGTTTCTTTTCATCTAAAAGCTTTTGGTTTTCTGCCTATTTAAGAACATTAACAAATCATGACAGCCAAAGCACATACATATGCAAAATAATCAAAATGCCTAACTAGAGCAAAGACAATTATGAGTTTCTCACTGGCTAAATAAAAAATTAAAAAAAGAGAGAGAGAGAGAAATCAAGTCATAATTAAATAAATTCCAAAACTATATATGATGACAGAAGATTCAACGGACAAAGTCCTGAAGTTTTCATTGAAAAAAAAATCATGCTGGTCACTGAATTCAAACTTTATCTTATACATAAATCACTCCAATTTATTAGCATTTATTAGTCACTCACTAGTCCATCAATCTTGTTTCCTTACATTGTACTAAAATGTGCTTCCCTGTAACTTTCATGCAATGGTGATTGTTCTGCTTTCCTTAGGCACATAGAAGTCTAGTTCCTTTTTCACACGATAGCAAAAACAAATATTTGAAGAAAGTTATCAACATTCCCTAACATTTCTCTTAACTATTCTAAAATCTCTAATTCTTATTATCATTCTTCTGATGAAATGGATTTGCTTTATTCTCTCAGGATGTACTCATTTTGTCAATACATAGTTTTAAATAAGGTAGCAAGAATTAAATTCAATGTTCTAAACAAACAAGGTGAACAACTTACAGTCCACAGGTAAAATCCAGCCACTGCTTGTTTTTAATAAAGGTTTACTATAACACAGCTAATATGTTTATGTATTATATATTCCCATTTTGCCTTATAACAAAGTTGAATAGTTACAACAGGGATTAATATGGCTCACAAAGCCTAAAAATTTGCTACTGGATGTTTAGATAAAATTTTTGTCAACCTCCACTTTAGATGAATCTTATAAAATTAGACTTTCTGGCATAATAGGAACAAATGGTAGTAACTAAGCACTTCAAATGTGGCTATTGGAGCTGAGGTACTTTTAAATCTGGTCCACTTTAAATTTGCAAGACAGGAAACAACGTGTGTTGGAGAGGATGTGGAGAAAGGGGAACGCTCTTACGCTGCTGGTGGGAATGCAAGTTGGTGCAGCCACTTGGGAGAACAGTGTGGAGATTCCTTAAGAAATTAAAAATAGAGCATCCCTATGATCCTGCAATTGCACTACTGGGTATTTACCCCAAAGATACAGATGAAGTGAAAAGAAGGGCCATCTGTACCCCAATGTTTATAGCAGCAATGGCCATGGTCACCAAACTGTGGAAAGAACCAAGATGCCCTTCAACGGACGAATGGATAAGGAAGATGTGGTCCATATACACTATGGAGTATTATGGCTCCATCAGAAAAGATGAATACCCAACTTTTGTATCAACATGGACGGGACTGGAAGAGATTATGCTGAGTGAAATAAGTCAAGCAGAGAGAGACAATTATCATATGGTTTCACTTATTTGTGGAGCATAACAAATAACATGGAGGACACAGGGAGATGGAGAGGAGAAGGGAGTTGAGGGAAATTGTAAGGGGAGATGAACCATGAGAGACTATGGACTCTGAAAAACAATCTGAGGGTTTTGAAGGGGTGGGGGGTGGGAGGTTGGATGAGCCTGGTGGTAGGTATTATGGAGGGCACATATGGCATGGAGCACTGGGTGTGGTGCATAAACAATGAATTCTGTTATGCTGAAAAGAAATTAATAATAAAACAAAAAAGACAGGACCCATTCATATGCTGTCTACAAGAGATTCATTTTGAACCTAAAGATACATCCAGGCTGAAAGTGAAGGGATGGAGGACGATATTTCATGCCAAGAGTCTTCAAAAGAAAGCTGGGGTAACGATTCTCATAACGGACAAATTAGATTTTAAGTGAGAAACAGAGATACAGAAGGACACTACATCATTCTGGAAGGGTCTATCCAACAAGAAAACCTAACAATTGTAAATATCGATTCCCCCAACATGAGAGCAGCCAGTTGCATAAGCCAACTGTTAAGCAAAATAAAGAGACATATTGATAAGAACGTGTTAATTGTAGGGGATCCTACACACCACTCTCAGCAATAGATAGATCATCTAAGCAGAAAATCAACAAAGAAACAGTAGCTTTCAAGGACACATTGGACCAGATAGACCTCATAGTGATATACAGAACATTCCACTCTAAAACACCAGAATACTCGGGGCGCCTGGGTGGCTCAGTGGGTTAAAGCCTCTGCCTTCAGCTCAGGTCATGATCCCAGGGTCCTGGGATCCAGCCCCGCATCGGGCTCTCTGCTCCGCAGGGAGCCTGCTTCCTCCCCTCTCTCTCTCTCTGCCTGCCTCTCTGCCTACTTGTGATCTCTCTCTCTCTGTCAAATAAATAAAATCTTAAAAAAAAACAAAACAAAACACCAGAATACTCATTCTCTTTGAGTGCACATGGAACTTTCTCTAGAATAGACCACATACTGAGTCACAAATCAGGTCTCAACCGATATCAAAAGATTGAGATTATTTATTGCATATTCTTGGACCACAATGCTTTGAAACTGGAACTCAATCACAAGAAAGAGTTTAAAAGAAATTCAAACACTTGGAAGCTAAAGACCATCCTGCTCAGGAATGTTTGGGTCAACCAAGAAATCAAAGTAGAACTTAATCAATTCATGGAAATCAATGAGAACAAAGACATATTGGTCCAATACCTATGGGATATGGCAAAGGTGGTCCTAAAGGGGAAAAAATGTAAATTTAAATGCCACATTTGGTTAATAGTTATCATACTGGATATCAGAGCTTTAGAAACTGAACAAGACCAAGTATAAAACAACCATTATTTCTTTAGTTATGGGTACTTAATTACTATCAATTCCTCCTATTATTCAACAGAGTATGTATGTGTGTGTGCGTGTGTGTGTGTGTGTGTGTGTGAACTCAGTTTTTATGTTCTTTATTCAAGCATGAGATCACAACAATTTCATTAAAGGTCTGACAACAAATGTCCTATATTAATAATAAAAACTAATAACTGACACCAAACCCTACCTCCCTGTGCACTGGAGGTGCACTTCCACCAGAGCAAGTCTACCAGAGAATCAGCACAACAGGCCCCTCCCCTGGAAGACCAGCACCAACAACTCACACCAAGTTTACAGATCATAGAGGGCTGCAAAGCTTCAGCTCTTGGGGAAAACAGTATATAACACTGTTTATATTTTTATTCTTTAGCCTTTTATTATTATTTTTTTCAGTTATTTTTTCAATTCTTGATTCTTTTTTAATTTCTTAAAAATATTTTTTTCTTTTCTTTAATTTTATTTTATTGTGTGTGTGTGTGTGTGTTTCTTTAATATTTGGGGTTTGGGGTGTTTGTTTTTTTTTTTTTTTCAATGAGCAGACCAAAACAAACCCAGGATCTAGGGGTTTTTTTGGTTTTGATGTTGTTTTTGTTGTGTTATCATTGTTTTTGTTGTCTTTTTCTCTTTCTTTATTCTCTTCCTTTCTCAATGAAATGATGACACAGAGAAATTCAGCCCAAAAGAAAGAACAGGAGGTAGTATTCACAGCTAGGGATTTAATCAATACAGATATAAGTAAGATGTCTGAACTAGAGTTTAAGACAATGATTATAAAGATACTAGCTGGGCTTAAAAAAAGCCTAGAAGACACCAGGGAATCTCTTACTGTAGAGATAAAAGAACTAAAATCTAGTCAGGCCAAAATTAAAAATGCTATAATTGAGATGCAGTCCCAAGTGGAGGACATAAAAACCAAACTGAACAAATCAGAAGAGTAAATCAGTGACACAGAAGATAAAATTATGGAAAATAATGAAGATGAAAAGAAGAGGGAAAGGAAACTATTAGATCACAAAGGTCAACTTAGGGAACTCAGCAATTCCGTAAAGTGAAATAATATCCATACTATAGGAGTCCCAGAAGGAGCAGAATTTGGAAAAAGGGACCAAGGTTTATTTGAACAAATTATAGCTGAGAACTTCCCTAATCTGGGGAAGGAAACAGGCATTCAGGTCCAAGAAGTACAGAGAATTACCCTCACAATCAACAAAAATGGGTCAACAACTCAACATATTTTAGTGAAACTTGCAAATTACAAAGATTAAGAGAAAAACCTAAAAGTATCTTAGGATAAGAGGTCCTTAACAAACAAGGGTAGACACACATGGCTGGCAACATACCTGTCCACAGAATCCTGGCGGGCCAGAAAGAACTGGTAGGTTATATTCAATGTGCTAAATGGGAAAAATATGCAGCCAAGAATACTTTACCCAGCAAGGCTATCATTCAGAATAGAAGGAAAAAGAAAGTTCCCAAGACAAACAAAAACTAAAGGAATTTGTGAACACTAAACCAACCCTGCAAGAAATATCAAAGGGGACCCTTTGAGCAAAAAGAGAGACCAAAAGTAACAAAGACCAGAAAGGAACAGAAACAACCTACAGGAACAGCAATATTACAGGTAATACAATAGCACTAAGTTCATACCTTTCAATAATTACTCTGAATGTAAATGGACGAAATGTTCCAAACAAAAGATATAGGGTATCAGAATGGATTAAAAAAAAAAAAAAAGACCCATCAATACGTTGCTTACAAGAGACTCATTTTAGACCCAAAGACACCTCCAGATTGAAAATAATGGCTGGAGAACCATTTATCACGCTAATGGACATCAAATGAAAGCTGGAGTAGCCATCCTTATATCAGATGAACTAGATTTTAAACCAAAGACTTACTAAGAGATGACGAAAGACACTATATTAAAGGGGTCTATCTGACAAGAAGATCTAACAATCGTAAATATTTATGACCCCAACTTGGGAGCAGCCAAATATGTAAATCAATTAATAACATTTAATAAACCCATTGATAACAATAATAGAGAACTTTATCACTTCACTTAGAGTAATAGACAGATCATCTAAGCAGAAGATCAACAAAGAAATAAGAGCTTTGAACAACACACTGGACCAGATGGACCTAACAGATACATTCAGAACATTTCATCCTAAAGCAGAATACACATTCTTTTCAAGTGCACATGGAACATTCTCCAG